CCTACCTACCTTCCTACCTACCTTCCTACCTACATACCTACCATATGAAGAATTCCTTGAATTTATGCTGATATTCCTGAAGAATTCTGATAGTCCTTAACTGTTAGGAAGAAGTTTTTTTATGGAGTAACCATTGGAACGCATAACATCAATAAGCAAGCAGAAATTAGGCCAGTAACTGTCCTCAGTCTCGCTAACGTCCTCCTTAGCCTTTTTCTTGAACTCTTTGGATTTATTAATTGAAGGACGTTAGCAACCCTTTCCCTTGTTGCGAATTCAATCAACTGAGCTCTCACTAGAAAACTCAAAGAGAGGGGTTTATGAGCAGTCAAAGACCAATCACTTTAATTTGCCCATGTGCTAGGCAGTAAGTTAACAGGATTATGGTGATGTTTTTGTGACAGAAAAAGTTGTGAGTTTCGTTAGGTTTTTAAACATTTCAATAATCGAACTATTTCGTTTACTAATTTGACCGTTTGTTCGTTAACGTCAATGCTTCGTTCCATAAACCATTGCTAGAAAGAAAGAGGTCAGTGATATGTACCACTTTAAAAATCTTCACGAGAATTGATCCAGTATGAGGACAATCCTGTTCGTAATATTCAGACACGAAATACCGTGTTTGACCAAATTTCCAATCACCGAGAAGAGATTTAAAAATACGGCGCGTAGCGGGGTATTTTTGGCGAACTTTGAGTTGTTTGGTAATGTGATCAAACACTGTCTTGAGTATTTGATATATCTTCTCAGTCAATACTAACAATAACGAGAAAACGGAGCAATAAAGTCGTAAAAAAAAATCAGATATCTAAACACCATCACGGTCATGATTTCCCATGTTTAAACCTGATGAACTTTTAGTGATCATGAGTTTGAAAAGCTTTCTTCAAGCCGTTGTTCAGTTACGCTTCTCCTCACGTGTATATTTTATTTTTTAGGTAGCAATGATCGCCACAACAAAATTGCTGCTCGAAACCTAAGTTCCTGGCCAGGGACCTGTCATGATTGATCCACTAGTACTAAGAGATCTTATTGAGGCGTAAACACTTTCTTAGTGAGCGCTGGATCTAAGGGCAAGACCAGCAGGCACGTTCTCCGTCCTGTTTAGAACAAGAATTCCCCCCCTCCCACCCCTTTTCTTAGCACTTCTGCCTCCGTCGCTGCTTCGCGTGCATTCGCATTTGTTCTGACTTCAGACTTATGTTATATTTCTATGCTTAGGAAAGGCGGGCACCCCTCACTCCAATCCACTTTGTGATCAGACTCCGTGAAAACTCAAAACTGGAGTTGTTCTGTAAAACACCTGGCAAAGCCACATCACCTGTTTGAGTGTCAGGGATGCGTTACTGTCATTGTATCTCTGTTTTCAGTTCCTGTCAAGCTAATTAATATCAGCCGTGACCAGACTGTGCTTGAAAGATCAAACATAGCTTTGGTTTGCGAAGCAACTGGTAAACCAACACCAAACATCACCTTGACCAGAGTGCTGGAAGATGGTAGTGATGGTGAAGTACTACCTCAAGGGCCCACTTGGAATTTTCCGAACATTAACCGGGATGCTTCTGGAACATACCGTTGTACAGCTAAGAATGAATATGAAACTGTTAGCCAAGTATTTAAAGTGAATGTTACATGTAAGTATTTTACGTATCCAAAACATTGTTTACGAACATAAAGAGTTCACCCATATACACTTGACGTGTACTGACAGTGAAATTTTATACGTTTCTTCAGGAGGTTCTTAAGTGCAAGGGTCCCATACAGCGCACGCACATGACGTGTAATGTACAACATTCGAGCATGACAGGCTTACTGCCTCATTTACTGATCTGAACGCGTCACGTGATTGAAGATACCCCAGCTAAAACTGGGGAATATCCCAGTGATATTCCCCGGTTTTCAAGAGATCGCGTGGGTGTTTGCAAAACATATTTGACCGTTAATAAACACAGTAACCTTCATTTGACATAACAAATATGCTCAGATATTTGCCATTGGATATAAACTGTTCCTCGAAGCCCGCGGTTTTCCTCGAGCTCTTCTCTAACAAGACTGCTTCTCAGAAAATGTAATATCCGAAAATTGGAGCATATTTTCGCGCTTAAAAGAGGCTATGGTTCATTAAAGACTGGCGTCCTGGTAAAGCAGTAAACATAGTTAAGTTAGGTTTTATTTTCATTTTCTTAGCCTCTTTTGTTAATCTTGTAGATGCTGCCAAGATCGTTAAACTTGTAAGTGAACATGAAGTTGCAGCGCAACAAAGTGTATCACTTGACTGTCAAGCAGAAGGAAATCCCAAGCCGACTTATGCCTGGACTCCATGTGATCCACAGCAAAGTGTGTGTCATCAAAGCGTGCTACGTTTTCAAGCCAGTGACCAAAGTGTCTACACGTTCACCTGCAAAGTGGAAAATTACCTGGGCAGTGATAAAAAAAATACCACCATTTGTAAGTTAGCAAGAGAAAAATTAATTGCGTACAAAACGCTTTTCCGGCATTTGTATTGATCATTGACTTTCATGAAAATATTGTTACACGCATGTATATCACAGACAGATGTGATCTTTTATGCATAACAGCTGTGTTAGTAACACTTAAGTTACCCTTAACATTATATCAGCTGTCGCATCATGTTCTCTCTACTAGCTCTCTTTGAACTTTTTTTTTTGTTACATGTACTTG